TGGCTCACGCTTCTACGAGTGATCCCCTTCTGATTGGCCCATCGGTCCGTAGTTTATCCGTGGGTACGTATCTTATGGTTGTTGGGTCGTAACACTACCTATAACTATATATTACACTACTACTGTTTTAAAGGACTTAAATAAAAAGTTAAAGAAGTTATTAAGAAATGCAATATATATAAAAAAATAAAGGATAAATAACATTAGCTATATAGAAAATTACAACCTATTCTAGTTCTTAAATAGAATTAATATACTGTTATATTTAACTATATTATTAATTTACTAGGGTTAAAGGAACTGTTAACTAATATAGTCTATAATAGCATCTTTATAATAGTAAATAAGCTCTTTAAGCAAGCCTACTTTTTACTATATAAAAAATCCTATATTATAAAAAATTTAATATACCTTTATATATAATATATTTTTGCAGAATATAAATTACCAGCAGAAATTATATTGGATAAAGGAAATACCTTTGCTTTTAAGTTTTAGTAAGAACTTATAGCTAAACTTAAAACTTATTATAAGCTAAGCACTATATATTATTTATAAATAAATGGCTAAATGAAAAAAATAAATTAAGTTATTAAGGCATACTTATAATGCTATATTAACTTTATATAAAATAATTAAGTAAAAAAACTCTCTGTAGTATAAAATTAATATAATAGTTCTATTTTAGAATCTACAGAAGTTACTTTATTTTATGCTAACTATAGATTTACACTAGAAGCCTATAGACTACTTTATAATAGTTTAAATGCAGAAAATGCTTAAATCTTAGCTGAAGATATAATTTAACTATAAGAAGAACTTAAGGAATAACTTAAGTTTATTTAAGATTGCATAAAGCAATAAGCTAACTATATAAAAATTAAAGGACTAACCCTTTAGGAAGGGGATATAGCCTATTTACTACAGTATTTATATAACAAAAAGCTGCTAAACATTAAAATAAATTAACTAAGTAATAAACTAGACTTTAAAAAACTTAAACTATTTAAAATTTTAAAGAAAATTAAAGAAGTTAACTATAAGTTAGACCTACTTAATAATATAAAGTTAAAAACAGCCGTTTTCTATATCTTACTACTAAAAAAGGCACTAGTAGATGAAGAAATAGATAAGCTAATTATAGACAAAATTATTATCTAGGATAAAGAAGAAGAATATAAAATTAATAAAATAACTTGCATATAAATAAATAAAGAAACAGGCGAATGAGAATACCTTATAAAATAGAAAGGGTATAACTTATCTAAAAACTTATAGGTTCTTAAAAAAGAACTTAAGAGGAACGCCTAGGCAATCCTGCAGGGATACCATTAGTCTTTAGGGATAGAAATAATAATAGGTCTAGGTTAAATGCAGATTAATTAATGTTATTAATGGCAAGGGACAGGCCGGCAGCAAAGTTAGGCTTTAATATTAAAGCCTAATGACTGGCTGCCTCTGCCTCCTTATGTTCTACCTTTTTTAATTCCTTTAAATTATTAATTCCTTATGTAATAGCATATATTATCTTTTCTAGCTATAATTGTTTCTGTTTTTAAAGATATTTAATTTTAGCATTAATAATCTTACACTACTCCTTAGCCTCTTCTAAGGTATCCTTAAGCTAAATATAAAAAAAAGCAATTTTTTACATCTGCGCAGGAGATAAAGAATAAGCATTACATAAAGACTTATTATCCCTTATATATTTAATACATTAAGTAAAATCTTCTTTAGATATTTAATACTTTAAGAAGTAGTGTTTTTTTTTATTTAAATAATAAATATAGTCCTTTATTTTAATAAAATAAAATAAAATAATCTTAAAAAAAATATTTTAATGCTCTATCTTTAAATAAAATTTCTTGCAAACACCTATTATAATTATTAATTAAAGAACCAAGAATTATTAAAAAAGGAAAATTAATATAACAAGAGGAAGAAAGTAAATACTTATACTTAATTAAGCAAGGTCTTGGGGACAAGACCAACAGGAGGGGAGTATTATATTATAACCTAACTCTTATAGTTACAATAATAGACCTATAGGGTAGGCGCGGCTGGATTAACTATAATCTAATAAACCAATTAAAAATAGATTAAAAACTCATTTATTAATCCAGCTTAAGATTAATAAGTATTATATCAATCCCCAGAAAGATTAATAGTTATCCTTTTAATCCCGTCTAAATTAACTAAATATATAAGTTTACTTCTTACGCTTATTTAAATAACTTAAATAGCCAGTTATTAATACAGTTTTATACTATAGATTAAAAAGCACTTTTAATCCCTACTGATGACTATTATTATAATATTATTGCCCATAAGTTTCCTAACCTATCCGCTAATATAAACCTAAAGAACTTATTCTAGGTTTATCCCTTAGGAATCTACCCTATACTAACTATCTAGTGTATGGTTCGTTACATATATTATAAGCATTTAAAGAATAAAGATATTATTACTATAAAAGTAAATATAAGATTATTATCTACATTAATTATAAAAATATTTTATACTTTACTACTACTAAAGAGCTCTTTAGCTAATAAGTTAAATACTTTAAATTCTTATTATAATTTAATTATAAACTTATTTATTATAAAGGCATAGAAAATAAAAGAGCTAATGTATTAAGCAGAAGAAGTAACTATAAATAAAATATACTGGAATTTATAGTATAAGCATTATGCTATAATAATAAAGAAAATATTAAGTAAGTATATATTTATATAATATTTAAAATACTTAAAGAAAATTTAATGCTTAATAAAATTAAAAAATATATAAAAAATTATAAGAATAAAGAATATCTAGAAGGAGTAACTATAGAAGAAGGATACCTTAAATGTAAAAAAAAGATTTAAGTATTTAAAGAGTTAAAAAGGAATATAGTAAAATATATTTATAAGCACTTGCTATATAAATATAAAAGAATATAGAAAATATATAATTAAGTCTTTATATACTATAAAGTAATTAAATTTAAAGTATATATTTAATATATTATATTATACTGCAGTATATATTAATAAATAAAAGATAGAAGATATAAATTATATAAGAAACTATAACTGCTGCTAGTAGTAGAATGACTATAGGAATTAGTAATATTTAATTATATTATTAACCTACCCCTTTTTATTAAACCCTTTATAAAGGTAAAATATAATAGTATTTTTATAGTAGTTTACTGCTTTTTAAAAGAAATACACTTCCTGCTGTATAATAAATTATATATAGTAGAAGACTTTGCTTATACTTATATAAGAATAATTGCTGTAAATTATAGACTACTGAAAGAAATAATATTAGATAGAGGATAAATATTTGCCTTTAAATTTTAGTAAAAACTTATGGCTAAATTAAGAATAAACTATAAATTAAGTACTGTATATTACCTTTAAATAAATAAATAAATAGAATGTATTAATTAAATTATTAAAGTATATTTAAGATACTACATTAACTTTATATAAGATAATTAAGTAAAAAAATTACTAGTAGTATAATATTATTATAATAGTATACCTTTAGAATTTATAGGAATTATATTATTTTATGTAAACTATAGATTTATACTAGAAGTATTTAGACTACTATAAGAAGGACTTAACTTTAAAAAAGTAAGACTGTAAGTAGAATTAATAATTGATTTATATAAAGAAATATATATATAACTTAAATTTATTTAAGATAGAATAAGAAAGTATATAGACTAAAATAGAATTGCAGGATTAATTCTTTAGAAGGGAGATATAGTTTATTTATTATAGCATTTATAAGGCTATAAATTGCTGAATATTAAGACTAATAGGCTAAGTGATAAGTTAAATATTAGAAAAATAAAACCTTATAAAATCCTTAAATAAATTAAAGAAGTTAATTATAAGCTAGTGTTGCTAGATATAATAAAGCTTTAAAGCCTAGTATTTTATATATTATAACTGGAAAAAGCATAAGTTAATGAACTTATAGGAAGACCTATTTTAAATAAAATTATTGTTAAAGATAAAGAAGAAGAATATAAAGTTAAAGAAGTATTTGCTATATGCTAGAACTTTAAGATTAATAAAATAGAGTACTTTATTAAATAGAAAGGATACTTTAAACTAGAGAACTTATAGGAACTAAAAGAATACTTTAACTCTTAGGAGCTGATATAGAGGTTTCTCTGTTTTATAAGATTAATAGACTAAGGTCTATAAACTTTAGGCTAATGTTAAAGGAGGATTAATTAACGTTATTAAAGACCTCTATATACTGAAGATTATTTACTATACTATTTTTTTTATTTAACTCCTGCATTTTATAATGAATTAATTTACTACCCTGCTTCTTTATTTTATTCTTTATATGATAAATATAAGCCAGGCGGCTTACTGCCTTAGAAAGCTTAACTTGTAATTTGGAAAGCTGAGATTAAAGGGACTTTAAGGCTTTGCCTGCAGCCTCTTCCTTTGCTTTTAGCTTTTTTTACTGATCTAATACTTTTATTACTAAAACTAGAATGTTAGTAATATAAATAAACATAGGAATAAAAGCTTACCTATAAGAAGAAGCCATTAGGACTTTATTATAGGAATGACTGTGTTTAATACATTTATAACAATAAGAAAAATCCTCTATTATTTAATAGAGAATTTTCTTCTGAAAGCAATAAGTATATAGTATATTAAAATTAAAACTGTAAGAAAGAATAAATAATGTAAGAAGGTTGTGCTTATAGGTTTTGCAAGGAACTGACTTAAATACTTGATTAGTTATTATGTTATTATTTAAGGAAGTAAGTTATAAATAATAGGAATGGAAAGAATAGATGTATTTATAGATTGTAAGGACTAATGCATGCTTGGCCTTGAGGATAAGATTAATAAAGAGGGGGCATTGTATTATAACCTAATAACTATAAGATATATACCTATAGATAAACTATAGATTAATGGGCTAATTAAAAGGGGATTATTTATAGAAGCATAAGCTATCTCTAATGGATTATAAACACTAAAGTAAGCTACCCTAGAAGGATTATAATTAAGATTATAAGCCTTGTAGAATGACTTACTATATAAGAACTATTTATTATGCTTATTAAATAGAACTTAGATAGTTAATCGTTAATATAACACTCTTAGATAACAATTAAATTGGTTATTTATAACCTCGTTAGCTATATGACTGCATTGCTTATAAGACTCTAACTTATCTCTCTGCTAATATAAACCTGACGTTGAGTTTATAGATTGGGAACCTACCCTATACCTAAGTACGATAGTATAGGTCAGGATGTTACAGCATTAAAATATAAGCAATATTATAGTAAAGTAAAGGTAAATATAAAAGGTAAAATAATAAAGTTAAGGAGGTAGATTAAGTTAGGTTAATTAATTATAGCAATAAATATATTAAAGTTAGGGGTAGATATAGGTAAGGTGTAGTTAAGGGTAAATAAAGTAGGCAGTATATAGTTAATAGTATATATAAAGATACTAAAGAAGTTATAGGATTTTATATAATAAAGTAGATAGGCAGGGTGAGATAGAGTAAGAAGCTGGTTAGTTGTAATATATAAAGAGGCAGGGAAAATAAAGAGGGGAGATAAAGAAGAAGGGGCTAGGTTATTGGCTGTTTTAAACTATAGATTAAAGAGCAGGGGTTTAAACTATAAATTAAAAAGGCAGGGCAGAAAGTAAAATAAAAATAAAAAGAAAGAAAAAAAAGATAAAGAAAAGGGCAGAGGATAGAAGTTAATAGTAGTGGAGTTTATAAAGAGGATTAAATATTAGCAGAAGGTATTAAATAAAGTAATAAATAAAAGGTTTAGGGGATTAAAATATAAAGCAGAGGAGGAGGCATATAATATATATATAAAGAGGTAATAGAAGGCAGAGGTAGAGGAAATAATAAAAGCAGCAGTAGAGTTATTAGCAGAAGAAAAAGATATTAAAAAAAAAGTAAAAATAAATAAAGAGAATTTTAAAAGGCAGCAGCAGTAGGTATAGTTTATAATATAGCAGGCATTAAAGGAATAAATAAAGATAGTGTTATTAGCAAAGGAGTTTTAGCAGTAGTTAAAAAGATAGGCAGATTAATTAGGTTAGGGTTAGGGTTAGGGTTAGGGTTAGGGTTAGGGTTAGGGTTAGGGTTAGG